TGTCAAAACAAATGTTCCATGCTCTGATGGCAAGCAAGTCAGTCCATCACCAAGGGTCAATTGCTTTTGCTAAAGGTGACTTAGTTGTCATTAAAACAAATACACTGTTGTGACAAAAGCATCATAGAAATTGTGTTCTGTGCCCCTTACAAAAGGAGCCTTGACATCCTACAACAAAACTGGACCTTTAGTACAAAAGGCCAAAAGCTTCAAATAGTCTGTGTATGACAGAAGAGAACAGGATAGGTCAAAGTGCACCTCCTGGTGTCTTATGTCCTCATAATAGCAGCTAGGGAAAAAATGGATTATCCTAGGAAATGGGCCATATATAAAAGCAGAAAAAAGGCTCTCAATATTCTCTGCCAGTCTGACCAGGGGGAATCCTGACCCCAAGTCCTGCATGCGTGAGCAACTGGGTACCAAGCTGCTTCGCAATAGACGAGGCACCCCGAGGACCTTGCCCAACATCCCGATTCCTGTTGTGGCCAATCTCCGGTGCAATGCACTTGAGAAGCACATTCAAGAAGGTGGGATTCTGTCTCATTTGGCAGATTCGGATTCATAGCAAACACATTGCAAGATGTTTATCTCACCGTGTGTTGACACAGAAAATTACCCACTATACTGTTGTCTTCATAAACAAAGCAATATATTGCCTCAAACTGAAAATAAAATAGTAATTCAATAGAGAAATTTATAGACAACATGCAACACTTGAATTCATTTTAAAGACTGCACTTACAGTCCCCTTGGGTTAAAGCTTTTCTAATACATTGAGGAGGATCAAGCAGACAAAGTCTATATTTTTGCATAGAATGTTTTATGTTCAATACTTCAATATTTATGTGTGGCAGTATTTACTCTACACAAAAAAATAGGCTTTGCGTCTTTCATTTATTCAGCACTTCAGAATTGCCAATACCCATGGGTATATTACACCCACAGGTTTATTCCTCTGACAATCCTTGCTTCAGAAAAATGAAATTTTTACATTTTAAATTAAAGCTAACTCTAATTTGTAATTGTAATGTACTATAAGAGATTATTACACAGTATGTGTGCCAAAGGAGCTGCCTTATGCTAGTAAGGTACACTACAGTAAGGGCTGCTATGAATGAATGTGACACATGAGAACAGGGGGAAAAAAATAAATCAAGTAACTCAGGTTACTAACTATAACAGCGTCACGCTGCTCAAGTTATTGCAGCCATGGCTGATAATCTGCTAGAACCCACTAATCTCTCCAAACTGGCAAGCAAATGTCACCACACGCTACTCACCTGCATAACAAACGATGTCTTCGTAATTCTACAGAAAAATGATGCCCCCAGGGCATCCCCTTTTTTCCTTGCCTTGGTATTAGCTCCTCTCTTGTAGGACATTTTACCAAGGAGACATTTTGGATATTCTGCGTTACAGAAAGTCCTCAGTGCATAAAATATATGCCTTCCTACTGAGCCTAGATCTATTCTAGGTGTTGATGTCAAAGCTTTCTATCCCAAGAAAGCACTTTGAAACAAAGCTCTTAAAGCTCTTCCCAGATCTCTCCGAAGTTCTAGCCTTCTATGCTACTTTTCTTTAAAAAGGCTTTTGGCCACCCTCCCACAACCTTGCCAACAGAGCTCCTGCTTCCACTGCCATACTCCTCTTCCTTCTACAACGCAGTGAAGTGCATAGCTTCCCCGAAACCTGGCCAGGTGCCTCTGTGTGACACAGAAGCTCGTGTCAGAAACCTGAGGTGCCCATTAAGCAAACTGCTTCCAGAACTAGCAGCAGTAAAGCCATGGCAGTGTGACAGTACTGCAATATCCCACTCTACTGAAAGATACACCTAATTAAAACCCAGAATAGTACCATGCTAGCATCATCTCCAGGACCCACATCTATACTGTAAGTGGTGAAGTAAAGAAAGGTTCAATTAGGTTGAGGCTGTATTAGCCTATATAGAGCTGTCTCATACATACAAAACTAAATTACTTGCTGCCTGCCTCCCAGAGATCACCTCTATAGCCCTGCTACAGATCACAGAAGTTAACAAAACTCCACAGTTCTGCTGTTTCTTAAGGTGTAGTTTGTTCCCCTTGATGCAAAAGGAGCAGCAGAGCTCTTATTCCTTGACCCCTTTAGGTGCCCTGCAGAAAGGGCTTGCACATCCCTCACGAACAGCCACCAAGGGTCTGTAAGGTTTGTGGCGTGTAAATGGGCCAGATGTTCATGCAGAGACTACCAGGGTTGGGAGGAAGGGGTGCCAAGAGTCCTGGTACACTGGCCGCTTGCATCAGCTGGCCTTAAACTACAAGAATATCTTAAAAAGGCATGTACGAAAGCAGATCCCTTTGTCATCCTACACTGTTTTCAAGCAAGGACTGGTGTATGTGAATTCCTCTCCCTGATGTGATCTGATCAAGTGTTTCCTTCTTAAAACCAATAAGCTGAGAGAGTGTTACTTGTGCCCCCACCTCCCCACTTTTTTAATTTTCACTGCAAACACAGCTTATTTACACTCTGTCTCTTTTAAAAATCAAGTGTCAACCGAGTGCTAAACTGCCGCTATTTGCCAGTGTTTCATTAACACCTTATTAGTTTCCAACAGCTGAAGGTGACTGGACCCTCACCTCTGTTTATTTCCTCAAAGTAACAGTTAACTGAAGCATCATAATAGAGGCACCCCTGCGAATATGACTGAAAACAAATATGCACACAGAATATGATCATGCACAATTTCAGCCAGATCTGCTAACAAACACATCCAGTTAATTTTATGCACAGTCACATACTATAAAGTTTGGAGCTTAGATTCCTACTAGAGATGCTGACAAAGATCTCTGCATGATGGTTTGCTTGTTTGTTTGTTCGTTTGTTTCCTCTTGGCCATATCAGAGAGTGACTTAAACAGAAATACAAGCTTTATTTATATAAACACAAATTACGCTACCAGTAGTTTACTCTTTTGGTTTAAATACTGGGTATGAAGGTGTGATCCTCGTAAACCTGCATAGCTCCACTGATTCTCACAAGGCTAAAATGGTTTACACAGCTGAGCCTCCAGCATGCATTCTTCTATATTGAATCCTAGTCCATCTAGATGTAACAATAAAAGAAAAAAAGAGAAAAAAGAAAAAAGAAAAAAGAAAAAAGAAAAAAGAAAAAAGAAAAAAGAAAGAAAAAAGAAGAAAGAAAAGAAAAAAGAAAAAAGAAAAAAGAAAAAAGAAAAAAGAAAAAAGAAAAAAGAAAAAAGAAGAAAGAAGAAAGAAAAAAAAAAAGGAGGGGAAAGCAAAGAAAAGGAGAGAAAAAAAAGAAAAAAAAAGCCACCCCTGAGAAACAGGCCTCCCAGAGCAGGGAGACTGGAAATATCCCCCTTCAGACAGAAATCTGAGGAATTAAACTTTTCTTTAGCTTTTCCCTAGCCCCTGCCCTACCCTTTTATTTTATTTCATTTTATTTTATTTCATTTTATTTTAATTTCTCATTTTATTTGAAAGAAAAGGGATCGAACAATATATGTATACAAATGTGTTACACCTCCCTCTTCCTCTGTTTTCCAATTTATTAAAGATCTTACCTGCTGTTTTTCCCTCACACTTCCAGACTCGCATTCTGCCCACCTGCAAAAGGAGCCAACTTGGAGGAAAAATATTTATAGAAGTTTCTGTTACCCCCGGCCCATGGGCAGGGACTTCTGAGTTACAGACTCCAGTATTAGTTCTGGCACGGAAAGCTGTCAGGTTTTGCTAATGTTGGAGGAGCTGGAACAGTTCTGGTTGTTCTCCAGTTCATACCTCTGTTTTTGAATTTATAGACATTGACTTAATAACCCATTAGTCTGTACAACTGCATCACACGTATTAGCTTTGGGAGTTTGGTTATCAGAGTGCTAGTTATCCCTTTTCATCATCCAAGTGGGAAGAATTCATCCTTCCAATGAACCAGAAGGGGTATTTCACAGTTCTTTTCTATCACAAGAAACGTTTACGAAGACTTGAACCAATCTTTCCTGACTTTTATAATCATTCTTATATCAGCTATAAAGTATTTAGAATTTTTTTTCAGGCATATAAAGAAAAAAAGGAAAATTGTGTTTGCTTTCAGAAATCCTCTCTGAAAAAGATGGCAAACCACAAAGAAGCTAGAGTGGTAAAAGAAAGGAATTGGCAGGTGTTTGAGAATACAAGTACTGAGAGTCATATGGATGATAAAAAACAAGCATGAAAAAAGGTAGAGGGGATGCTGGTATCAGTAACAAAATTAATGTATCCCTGTCTTTGCAAGGCTGGGACCCTGAATTACCCTTCTGATTTGAAAATATTGTGTTAAACTAGAACATTCTAACAATAATTCCTGACTCATAACTTGAGCGTTCATTTAGCTTATCTGAAATGATCGATGGTATTTCGCATCTACCCATAAATTTCAATCTCTAATTCTTTCAGAGTATCTTCATTTTGTGGTTATTGTTATACACAGACTTTGATTCAGTTTTAACAAAGTTTATAGCATGGTATATTTGACTTAACTTGAGGAATGAAAGGTAAGCTTTGCTTTTAGTTTTATCTCTGCAAGTATGTTGGACCAGATTCTGGTCTCATTTGCACCAAAATAAATCTAGAATAGTTCTACTGGTCTCAGTAATGATACTCCCAATACATGTTCATTTAACTGAGGTCACAAGCTGGTCCATTGACCTAAGTGGTATCAGTGGGGATGTACTGAGAAGAAAATTTGATCTACCAAATCCAAATCCTTGAGGTGTTGTTCTAGCAGCCATATTATTTAGAAAGAAAACACTGAACTTGAATGTTGACCCTCCAGCCCAGCTGGATCTTCATGTAAACTGTGCTCCTGCTGTAGCCTTTTAAATAGATCAGCAATTTACATTTTAAGTAGATTAGCAATTCAAATTAGTGAAATACCAGAATGAAGGTAGCATGGAAGGGGGAGGACTTAGTGCTTGCAGTTTCACCTGAAATTTCATCAGCATTCAACAGTGTAACTTTCCTTACCTTTCTGGAGAACACAGACTGGACAGACCATAAGGATTCAGCTGCTGCATGCCCGTACAAAGCCAGTAGACAGCACAAGTGGAGCCTAGGTAAGAACAGACAGAACTTCAGGCTAATTGACTCTCCAAATATTCTTTGGGCACACAATTTAAGGGCACATAACATCTAAAAAGTAGGTGCCTCCTCCCTACTACCCCCAGTCGGTTGTCCAGGGCTGTGGAGTAGGAGGATGGATGTGGGTACCACCACAGAAAATGGTAAGGGGGCCACTTAGGACATGCTGAGCAGCGGGAGGGATGGAGACACCTGAACAGCAGGCAGGATGGAGACTGCAGGAGTGTCCCAGTCCTTGATGCCTCTTTTGATGCTTTATTCAGGCTGCATTTCAGGAACATCTGGGCATTCACTGCTTTAAAAGTCATCTAGTGGTTCTACCTGACTTTCTGCATGACAAAGTAATTAGGATTACTTAAATAAATCAAGCCAGGGCTCTTTCTCTGGCTTGAGGGCAAGTGCCACTGTGCAGCCAAACCCTGTCAGGGAGAGAGCTACTGAATAAATAGGCTGGACGTCCATGGTGGAGCTGTGTTCTGTCCTGCTGTGATTTACTACTACGGATGCGGCTTGGAGTCGTCCTTCAGAAAGTAGGATAACTTGGGAGGAGTGAGGTTGACAGGGCAGGATGCCACAACAGCCTCCCTCACCTCCTCAAGGGTCGGGAAAGGGTCCGGCCCCTACGCGCTTCAGTCTCCCCCAGCTGCCGTGTGTGAACGCCAGCCCATGATTTTGTGCTTTGATCCTTGCTTCCTTAAATGCCCAAACTCTTCTGAGAATGGGATCCACTGGCCTCTACGCTGTGGACTGAAATGGAGGTGGGACCTCCACGGAAAAGCAGCGTTGGACTGTAGGCATCTAAATCATATCCTTGGAATTAAGCATCAAAGTACATGGTCTGAATGTCACCATAGATAAATTATTGGTGGTGGGAACGTTGTGTAACACAGGAAAATGCAAGGCTCATGTAAAACTATGACATTTTCTTCTGGAGGCCTAGGCCTAAGTCAGTCTTTGTGATACAACTGATGGTCAAGCACAGTCAGGCAGATACCTATCCTTAAGTGTGAACCACAAACATAGCAAGAGTCATGTGTTAATTGTGGCCAAAATATGCTCCTTATAGCAGGCTGCTAGGAATATTTGGAGACTAGAAGCCACCAGCAGCTCTGAACCAGCTGTGGGAAAACATAAGATCAATTTGAATGGTGAGATTTCTACGAGAGGTTTTCTTTGTTTGCTTGCTTGTTTTTGCTTTGTTTCTCAATTTAGCTGTCTCTCCATTGAGGTATTTATCCACTACCACTGGGTACTGAAACGAGTTGCAGCTCAATTACTTTTACCTTTTGTCTTCTGAACTAATCTTACTCTGAGCACACTGAACAACTTCTGAGTAATAAAGTGCTACCAGAGATGTCAAGCAAAGAACATTTTCTTCTCAAGCAGCAGCAAAGCCTCAGTGCTTATGTTCATCTACATCACTTGTTTCACACATAACCAGGCTTTAATTGCTGCTGCCAATTAAAACCCTGTAGCACACAGGCGTACACACCTCGTCCCCATGGTACTGAGTTTGGCCTCCCTTAGAAGCTGCATATTAAAGAAATACTGCTTTATTTTATCTCCCTTCCTTGCTTCCTGACACAACGCATAGTAGTGTCATGCAGTTCAGTGCGCGTATGTTAAAAAGCATCTGTACCAATCACAACACAATTATTCTTAATCCCTCCAGCTCTTATGTTTGTTCACCTCATACTAGCAGGAAGAACAGGGGGCAGTTGCTCGGGATAAACATGAACAATTGTGGGAGATCCCCTCAGGAGAAGCTCTGTCACCGAGGACTTTTCCCTCACTGACAGCACAGCGCAGCTTGTCGGCGTGGCTGCTGCTCTCTGCAAGAGAAATGGCAGCATTTCAGGCTGTAAAAGGTGTGATTGATGGGTGCTGTCGGTCCCTACCTGTCAGCTCATTGCACTGACAGGAATGAGCTCCCCTCTTGGGAGACAGACTTACACAGCACAGCCCACCCACCCCTTTCAATGAGACTATAATATCCTGTTGCTGTTCTCCTAGCAAGTGGTAATCTGCTTTGCGGGCTGGGGAAGGGCGAGGGAAGAGCTGGAAATTCTGTTTTTCCTGGCAAAGCCAATGACATCTCTTTCAGGAAGTACCTGGAGACATTTTAGCAGAGCTGAGAGCGCAGCTGAGAAAGACTGGCTGATGCAGAGGGCTAGTTCAGCCCAGGGTTACGACAGATCCTGCTGTCATAACCGCAGCTGCAGGGACGTCAGTGGGAGAAACTTGTGGGATGCTGGCATGACTCCATGGCTTTGCATGTGTAACATTAAACACGTGCAGAGGGGTTGCAGTATCTGCTCCCAAGCCCAAGGGACAACAGAGGCGATACTGCCATTTACCCCGGCTTAGAGCAGTCCCCTGCGTATGCACATGGCCACGCTGGCACACATAGGTGTGAATTCCTCACCCAGCAGGAACGAGGCTGAACGTTGTCTGGCTATTTGTCTGATTTTTCATCAACCTAAATAGAAGTATCCCGTCAGAAAAACAAATCACCATAGGAAAATTAGGGATTTCTCTATTATGTGTTTCCTAGCAGGAGATTTAAGGCTTTCTTTTCAACAATGTAATTTAAAGAGGATCGCCTGAGCCACAAGAGCATCTAAATCAAACCTCAGACCATTCAGCCAGTGTCAACACAGTAAGAAAGCAGCAGTAAAAAAATCCAGTTGCCTTTATTTCAGCAGCTTCTTCGTTTCCTTGCTGTCGCCTTCCCCTCTCCCTCTTCTCCGACAGGCAGTGGTTAACCTTTGTGCAGCTTGACCTGCTTCTCCTTGCATCTGGCTTACCACAGCACCCAGGCTGTCGGGCCAGGAAACCCCAGCGGGCCGACTCAAAGCCCACTGACGTCAGTAGAAAGATTCCCACTGATTTCAGGGGAGGTTGAATCAGGCCTAGTTTGAAGCAGAGCCATCTTCCCTTCAAAACTTTTACTTGCTAGTTCATAGGCAGGCGCTGGCCACGCATTAAGACCTTCTGTGCTTATGATTGCTATACTGCCTGCAAGGAGAGAGCTGACGCCACTGCTGGATCACTCCTTTCATGTGATGCCTCAGATAAGAGCACGTCTGACAGCTTCCCTTTTCCCTCCAAATCAAAGACAGCGACTGCAGCTGCACAGACCAGCAAGTCTGTTTAGTTTCTGTGGGCCAACAGCCACCAGCTGTAGAGGCTGCTGTGCTTTTTGCTGGATGGGAGCTTTTAGTTCCAATAGACAATGTGTACAAATACTTCTCATATTTCTATATCTTCCTAAGTTAATTAAATGCTAATTTTCTAATGAGGTGACAACAGTGGCAACAACCTGTTATCAGCATGCTAGCTAGTGCCAGTAACCAATGGGTGAGCATAGAACCCTTGTGCTGCTATTAAACGCCATTCCTATATTAATTAATTACTTTTGCAGCTGTATTATTCTGAAGCTGGTCAGAAATGTGGATAGTAATTAAAGGAAAAAATATTTACATTATTTGGAGACTGCAGAGTTGCTTTGTGGTGTTTATTATTTCACAGTGTTGTTAGAGAAAACTCTCATGCATTTTCATGCCCGTTGCATGCCAGTTTAGCAAGAAAACGGAAAGGAAAACTCAGGATAAAAGTGCTTTTCAATATACACTGAACATAAATTAAGGTATAAAAGTTTTTCTGAGTTGTGCAATGAGAAGGAAAATACCATTGGGAATTCTGATTAAGGGTTGGCAATATGTCTGTCACTCCTTCACGTTAGTCAGAAAAGGATTTAGGCACTTAAAATTGGGCATAGCTGGAATTTATTTACCTATCTCCAAAACTGAGATTCTGGAAACCCCATTCCACTGCTGTCTAATCCAGGAGGTTTCCAAACTTCTGTCGCACTTCAGCTGCCAGCACTGCAGTTCCCCAGACATCTAGAATTCTGGCCATATCCCGAAAGCTCTTCAGTGTTAACAAGGTCTAGTTGTGCAACATCCAGTTCATGCACCAGCTTAGGCGGGATCCATAAAACATGTTCCTTTGTTTATCTTCCCTCAGGGCTGGTTTGAGTGCTCAGAAAATTCCCACTGAAATTGGATTTTACATAAAACACAATGGTAGCTACCAATTTCTTTTGAAAGGTGGCTGCTGGGATCCTACCCTTTTTTAAGGTATTGCAGTATTTCAACAGGATATGAAAGAGACAGTTCAGTGCTTCCCTCTGTCTGATCATAGTTCCTTCCTCTTGTGATAAACTCTAGTCAGAAGACTTTGGCTCTCTGCAAGTCAGTGTGAGGTTTTTCTCATCCTTTACTACTGAAAAGGAGTGGAAATTCCCATCAGGAATGTAACAGCTGCTACACTTTTGAAAGAGATGGTTTGGACACCTACCATCAAGAAAGAATTCAGATGGAGGTGAAAGAGACAAGTCTTCATGATGGCACTGAAATTCACAAGCCATACAGCGGATGGGGAAGGTATGGGATTTTAGACAGGCTCCTAGCTCCACAACTCCTTGTCCCCTAATTTAAATCATGCACCTTTTTTTGGCTCCCATCCTCATGCACCTATTATTCCCCATGTACTGGTCACGGAGCCTGGGTGGCCAACTAAGGATCAGGCACAGAAAAAGTGCATACTGCCATGCTGGAGCGTTGTGATAGGTAAAACCTGCATTGGACTTGATTCTTCTTAAATGCTGGGTTTTGTATTTGGGAACTTCCATGTTTCACTGCCATCAGCCAGAGGCAGAAAAGAAACAGTTTTTCCCCACTGTTGGAACTCGTGCTATGTTAATGAAGACTGGTCCAGATTTTATTAGGGATCTATTGAACAGTGCCCTCTTAGATAAACCAGTAGTGGGTTTCCAGATAAAGCATCTTACAGCCATTGTCTTAAAGATATTAATCTTGTCACAGTGAGCAACAAGTGAGATACACACTGGTAAACTTCTTCTGAGTGCTTCTCACTGTCAGTTAATGATGCTCTGCAATTGAATGA